ACCGATTGAAATAAAATTGTGGAAGTTTAAAAAATGCTTTAAATAAAATCTCAAAAAGTCAGCGACAAAAGTCAAAATTTGAAATTTCTTAAATTGCTATCTTTTAGACATTAGTTCAAAGTAATGAACAAAACAAAAATTATGTTCAAAATAGATTCAGAATAATAGCAGGCATTGGAAAGACGTAATGAATGGTTAAAGTACTACGTCATTTCCGGTTGGGCAAAGATGAGTCATTTTACATTTAAACAATAGCGACACGCAAAGTATAAGAAATAATAGTGTCAGATAATCTGTGGTATGTGCAGTTTTTGCTGGGGAGCGTGACCAGAAGTAGACAAAAACTAGAACCGTTATAACGGTACCGAAGCAGTGCGCATCCAACCTGATACATCGATAAAACGTTGCATTTTAAAGACACAATGGGATTTCTTACCTGAAAGAAAAGCATGTAAACGTTCAATAGTAGAAAAAATCGTTTAAACCGTTTACCTTTCGGTAGTGAAAAGACGCATGAATTTGATACCATTCGGTACTAAAAGGTGTTAACATTCGGTAGTAAAAAGTCGAATTTTCAAATAGCTGTAAAGTTAAAAGTTCAATTCGCACAACAAAAATGAAAATATTTTTGGAAAGGTACAATAATTTGTGTTTCGGCCAAGAGGTCAACAGAGGTCAAATAAAAGAGAATATTGTTGAAAATTGCTGTTTTGGGATGTTTGTAAAAGCGAAAATATATGTCGGACATCAAAGATAAAAGTATGAATGGACATCGTAGATCAATAACCTTTGACCTTCTAAAGACCAAGATTATGTATGTGAATGGTCAAAATATCAAAATTTTATAAATAGTAAATCCTATTCCCTTTTTTAAAGTAAAAGGCCTAAACAAAATGTAACTCTATCAGATATTGTCCTAAATAGTGCTTTAATTTTTTGTAAAATGGTGAAAAATGCAAACTTTTCGAGTCATAACAATTTGAATTATTTAAGGTAAAGGTAAAAGTATCCCGGATTTGCCACGCCCACTGCAAAAATTTTGTGTCGTCTGTAATAATGTGTACAATGTTAAATAATGTTCAAAATTTCAAGTGTTTACAATCATTAGATCATCAGATATTCGTAGTTAAAAGTTTTTTTAAGGCAACTATGACTGTCAGTGGATTATAGAAAATGTTAAAATTACGCAAAGTTACTATAGAAGTCAATACAAAATTTTCAAATTCAATTTTAATCAAAATACCAAGTGTTATATATCATTTGAAAGAATAGATTGCGTGTAATAAGGACAAAAGATAAATTTTCGCTTATGTAAATTAGGTCACGTGATAGACCTTTTTTTTTGTTAAAAATCGCGATTTTAAATTGGCTGTAGAACCGGAAGTAAACGGAGCACGACAAAAGTGAAAATATTATCGGATATATCTCGTAATGGGCAACAACCTTTGTTCAGGTCAAAAGGTCAACAAAGGTTAAATAAAAGTAATATGATCCTTTGAAGTTTCGAAAATTGCTGTTTTCGGACGTCTGTAAAACCAGAAGTATATGTTGCACATCAAAAATCAAAGTAAGAATGGTCATCTTAGATCAATGACCTTTGACCATGCAAAGGTCAAGGTCATTTACGTTAAAGTTCAAAAATGAAAATTTTTAAAATTGTTAAACCTGTTCCCTCTTTTAAAGTAAAGAACGCAAACAACTGTAATCTTATCACAAATTGTCCTAAGCTCTGATCTACTTTCATGCAAAATTTCTAGGATGACAATTGCAAAATTTGCGAGTTATGACAATTGCAAATATTTCAGGTAAAGGTAAATGCGCACCGGATGTGCCACGCCCACTTCAAAAATTTTAATTTGTCTGTGATGATGTCTACATTGTTAAATAATGTTCAAAATTTCAAGTCTTTACAATCATTAGATCATGAGATATTTGTAGTTAAACTTTTTTTAGGGCAACGGTGACTGTCGGTAAATTATAGACACCCCGATTTTACGCACAGTTACTATAGAAGTCAGTACAAAATTTTCAATTTTTAAAACGCGCAATTTTGATCAAAATATCAAGTGTGATATATCGCCAAAAAGGAGAGATCATGCACTCTAAGAATATATAAGAAATTTTGTTTTATGTTAATTAGGTCACGTGACAGAGCTTTTCAAAGTTAAAAATCGCGATTTTCAAATTGCTGTAGAATCGGAAGTTAACAATGCAAAACAAAAGTGAAGATATTATCGAATATATCTCGTAAGGGGCAACAACTTTTGTTCAGGTCAAAAGGTCAACAAATGTCAAATAAAATAATATGAGCCTTTGAAGTTTCGAAAATTGCTGTTTTGGACGTCTGCAAAACG